TTTCGAACCAGCGCGAGGCGAACTTCGTCGGTAGGTTTCCAACGTGCCGATTGAAAGCGGCATTGTAGGTCCTTGCAGGTTGGAAAGGTTCCTTGTCACTTGTCGTAGCTTAGCTACTGTGATGCCTACTATGTTCGGAATAGAAAGCATGGAGTCAGCAGAAGCACAACTCCATGTTGAAACCTTAGCACGGTAGGGCGGGACTAGTGCGGGTCGTTGCTGTACACTCACCACTAGGTGGGCGTGGGGCATCGTCCTTTCCCGTACTGGTGTGGCGCGAGTAAGGGAGGCCACTGGTGCTGAACGTGATTTAGTATTGCTGTTGCCGGGTGTGTCACTGGTGAACACTGCGATGGACGATTGGAACTTACAAGTGAGTCGGACGGCCAACACTGGCATCTCGGTCGTCTCTAACTTTTTGGGGGGAAATTATCACCGTGGGAGGAAAATTCAGACTGTTACGAGTTTACTATTGGTGAAGCAGGGAACTGAATCCGGCAGTGGGCAGGTGGTAAACTCAATAGTGTATCAATAAGACGTTCTTGACTTTACTAATTCCCAGACGCTTTATCGTCCTGCAGTTTTCTAAAAGCTTAAGCCTTGGTACAGGAAGTCCAGGAAAAGTGAACGGTCTGAAGCATACGGTGCATCAGATCTACGTAGCGGAATCGAGACTTAGTTATTTCCTTAAACCCAGTAGTCTATGTCTTCGTCTCCTCTGTTCAGAATCCTGAGTGTGACCATCAGGCTTGTTCGGTTCGAGCTCGACGGACGATACGCAAGGGTCAGTTTTGTAGCTACTGCGAGTTGGGTATCCTATGGCAGGTGAAGAGCTGACGATGGACTACGGTTTAAAGAGTAACTTGCAGTTCTTGATTTTCGGTGGCTTCACCATCCAAGGCAATGAGCTCGGGTATGTCCGGGTGCACGTTATGGCATATGACTCTTGATGAGATCTAAAAGTTTAGTTCGTTTTCGGTTGATTTTCACAGTGCATTGGAGCCCACAGGTATCCGATGCGTATGAACTTGACAGCGAAGATGGGCAAGGACATGCCCTCAGAGTGTGAGGCTCCTTTCGTGATTGGTGAGCGCTGCCAAGCCCGCTGCTTGGTTCGCCATTTCTCAATGTTTCTTCTCACTACTGCCAGGCCTGGATTCTGATTGGCATCGAATGTTGAAGTGCAGCCGGTTTGCAGTGTAAGACGATGAAAGCTTACGACTTGCTCAACTTGATTCCCTCAAATGATATGTTGGAATGCAGCCTCGCTATTAGACTCGTCACGTTCTGCTTTGATCGCCAAACTAACCACTGTAGGTCCGAAAGTGAAGAGCAGTCGTGGGACTCTGGTGAATTGGAACATCCCCCCTCGGAACTGAGTTCACAAGAGGAACAGGTGAGGCAAGCTCCATCTTGGACCGCGATCGCTCATCCCGGTATAGGCTCTCGGAACGATTATCTCGAATCTTCAAGAAAGAGTGGAGGAGATCACCCGGAGTCTTGCCTCGGTATGCAGCTCTCCTCGGCTGCCACTGAGTTCGTGTTCCTTATAGGTGGACATTCCTGCAATGGAAGCCGACAATGACCCCCTCAGTGCTAAGCTAGTCGGTGTCGTTCGACAGGAGTTGAATGCTGCTATCGCGTGGCGCGAAAAGGCGGAGGCTCTGATGCTCAGCGCGAGGCGCCATTGAAGACAAGTGAATGGTAAACTCAAGTCGCCTGTATTCTTGGAAATCGATTTATAGTGTTCCTACGATGCTTCCTATGCTTTCTATCTACCAGTAGTACTGTGTTTGATGTATACTCAACCCTCGCGAGTATGCCTGGT